ATTGATAGATATTAATTTATAATTTTATTTATAAATTTATAAATTGATTTATAAATGTTCCCTATACCATTTCCACAGTGTAAGCCATGAAATCACTGAAACTGTAGACCACAGACCACAGGTACCACAGCTCTACAGATCACACAACTCACTCACCACGGCTTTGTGGATCACAACAAAAAAGGCTGTCCTTTTTGCATGAATTTTTTTTTTTCAATTAACAATGCTTAGAAGTAAAAGCAACACAATTAAAAGGCTAATCTCATCTAAGGTTTAAGATTTCCTATCTTAATGTAAATGGAGAGTTGATGAATCAAACAAGCATAAGCAAATACACATATTCATAAACATCAGCAAGTACTGAAGTAAAACGGAAAACAAATCAATATTGGGTGTGCAATGCAACAGGACTAGAAATTGAGCTCTCTTCTCCCCAGCCCCTTGTCATCTTGCACAGTATGAACCAAACTAAAAGTCTAAGAAACTTGGCCAAATATGTATCTTAACCAGGAATCTAAGCTCTCCAAATCACGCCCTTGTGCCCCAAATTTTTCCCCAAACATAAGCTGTGACAACAAAATGCTGCCACTACCACCCTAACACAACCATTGAAACACAGTGAGAAGATACTGCCCAGTAAACAGGTCACTGCACTATGACCAGCAGAGGACTGTCCTGCGCAGAGCAAAAGACAACTCCAAATTCATAGCTCGTTGTTTTCTCCCCCCACCATCGCAGCCCCCAGACCTTTACTTGTGAAATACACCAAAGACATCAACTGTGGTGAGATAAATGTTACACCAAAGGTTGGGAAGGACTGCTACTTACAGTTGCTACCCTGCAATATCAACTGAAATACAAATCCACAGAAAAACACAGAATATCTGCAGATGTTAGCTAACGTTTCCCAGACTGCAATTTCTTGTCTCCAAATTCTGAGCAAGCCAAAGTGTCAAGGATAATTAGCACTGGAAAGGAAAAAACCATCCATAAGAGCTAAGAGGGCCTGGCTTATGCTCAGATGCACACGACACTGACACATGTAACACTTCAGGCAATACAAAACATGTTAAGATTTATATCCTTTCATAGTAAAACAATTACATGCATATTTACTTTGGTAAGTGAGCAAATCAGTCTAGAACGCACAATATGTTAAATTCAAGTCCCTGAAGGTATACAGTATAAAATAACCCTTCTTGCTTTATTCTAACATATCTTTAAAAAATATCCCAGCAAAAAGTTGGCTAAAACATGGGCTCAAGACAATACTTCATGAATATTTAAAATGTGGTATTTTTTTATCCTTCAACAGTGACATAAAATATGGCTCTGGCATCAGAAAGTTAGTTTAGTCACTGAGTAAATGCATGCTTATATTCCTGCTAAAGCCTTCTAGAGTCTTCCTACTCAATTACATAGAAGCTGGAAGAGAAAAAAAAAATCTGTGTCTATCACCTCCCAAAGTACTTTGTTGTAAAGAAATGTTTAAACTCACTATGAATGTATTCACAGGGTCAATGGATAATGGTTTTACCAATTAGTTGCATTTTCTAGCAAGGAAAAGACTAACATTGAATACAGGAACTGCACTTGCTTATCTCTTCTTTATCCTATTTTCCTTCTCATACAAATTTAGAAAAAAATATCTATTTAGTTAAAAGATATTAGGATAAAAAGAAGATACAGAATAAACACATTTATCACTTTTCCCCATGCTCTGTTGTTCTTCCTGATCTCAACTTGTTGCACTGATTTGCTTCTTATCCAACCTTCTTACGCATTTCTGTCTCATACAAAAGAACTCCTTTCCATTCATGCTGGGGAGGAGATAATTTACTAGGAAACACTGTATAAAAATTACATCGGCCATGAGAATCAATTTAGGGAGCAAATTTGGAAAGTCAGTGAATCCATCTGCCAGGCTTGAGGCAAGATCAATGTTATTTAAACCATTTCAAACTCATGAATTAACCTGCTTTTAAATCTAAGCAACTGCAAGCAACTAACCCTTTTTCTATAGTCTGAAATAGTATTTGATATAAAAGGTTACAGCTTGTTTTCCACTTGTAATATTCCTGATGGTGGTGGGGGGGAGATGAATCACTGTTAATCTTTTAAGGCAGAACCTTGCTCCATTCCTTCCTTCATTTTCCTTTTCTAAAGAAAAGAGAACTCAAAACCTTCAACGTGTCTTCATAAGAGAGCTGGAAAGCATGACCCATCATGCTTGGCACTTTAACAATTCTTTTTTAAAAGCAGGAAATTGGATTCTAACAGGGACCTCACTGATTTGAAGAAGAATGAGATAATTTTCTCTCAACTGACATCCACCCCAAACCCAGATTAACTTCAAAACCCTGAAGATAAGTAAACAACGTATCTTCAGCAACAACATATTTTCAGCTTGTGTTTCATTATAAGTGATCTCTCTGCCCTGACAATCCTTTTCTTTTCCTTGGCACTCCCAAGGAAATCCCAGCTGCCAAGTCAGTTATTACACTTTCTGTAAGGGATCAGTTGTACCTACATCAGTGCTGAGAGATGCTCCTTTAACCTGGTTTCAAAGATCTCTAACAACAGACATTTCTGCAGCATCCCAGTCATCTTTTTCTAGTGCTTTTAAATGAGAACTTTTCTTCAGTGTTTACCCTGCATCAACTTTTTTCAATGTTTGACCACTAATTCTCATCCACAATGTAAGAATATTCTGCTCCTTAGTGGAGCTGCCAGGCTCGAAATTATGAAAATAGGTACTTATGACAAGTATTTTATTAGTCAAAACAACATTTTTACAAAAATGATAGAACATGAGAGTTTCTCAGCTGACCTGAATTTCCTCCCAGATGTCTTCATCCAAAAGAGTAGCTGCAGTATGGTGCTGCAGAGGGGCTATCAGGCAGTGACCTTCAGTAAGGGACTGGGTCCTTGGTAGAGACAAGTATACCTATAAAAAGCAGACAAAAACTGAAGTGCTCATTTTTCTAGAGTTAAAAACCTTCCCGTTGCTAAGGCTAAAAAATACATCATTTGCTAAAATTCAAATGCACACAAGCCATTACTTTCTAATTACAGCAAGGTATTACTAATTTCAGTGTTTTTTAAAAGGTCCCGTTATCCATCAGTAGCTTTAATGAACTAATAGTATCCAGACAGCAGCAAGGCAGTAATATCAGCCTTACAGACCAACTGGTATCCTAACTATTATGAAATCACACTGTTTAGTCCATTAAAATACATTTTTAATACATACATATAGACATTTTTAATAAAATACAATATATAAAAATGCATACAGATATACTTTGTATATATATACTTCGTGTATATATATTAGAAATATAAATAGACATATATACACAGATATATATACACACAGATACATATCTGTATGCATTTTACAAATATAGATAGATAGATAGATATGTATGTATAAAAATAAAATCTATGCCTATAAAAAAAATAAGTGCAATGTACCATAATACATATCTAAGCATTCCATTCCTTGGCCTATAAAAAGTTCCAAATCAAATGAGAAACATCAATAATAAATGAAATCTTTGGAGAAAGAACAACAAAAAAGCCTATATCAAAGCACTTCATATGTTATGAATCCCAATATTTACACAACTTTTAGAAGCATTAACAGAAACAAGAAGGCTCCCTGTACCAAACTTCTGTCTACTTCGAAGGATTTTAGGCTTAAAAATGGAATTATCCACTTAATTTTCTTTTATGTGTTTGAGATACAATTCTTCACCAGTTCAAATTTCTTCCAGTGCAGAGTGATTTAGTCTTCCACAAATCCACATACATATCTAATCTCTGCACTCAGATCTTTCATTATTGCTCCCATCTTCCACAAATCCACAAATCTGAAGTTCTGATATCAAAGATTAGCTTTACAATTCATGGCAGGTTTATATCTTTTCTCCCTCCCCCTGGAGGAATTTGTGAAATCAATTGGAAGGTCAAGGAAAATAAGATGCAGAATAAATAATTTCATAGAAGCAACTCTGTTCTTAATCTTAGGCACGCTAACATTAACACTGACTTCCGTTTTTCTTTTTTATTTTTACATTCATGTTAAGTTTCTATTTTCCTACCTTGGTGCCAATTGCAATAATAAGATGTTTAGAAAGTTCACTGCTATCGAAGCAGTGTGGGCACTTTTCCATGCACGCAGCAAGCTGCTGGTGCTCGTGTATTGCTTTTCTCCTTTGCATTTCTTCCTCTTCCCCACTGCGTGCTTTTTTGGCTGCTTTGGAAACAAACATGTCATCCAGAGTGTAGTACTCCCTGTCAGTTTGTTCCATGAGCTGAAAAGATACACAGAAAAATTGTGTGCATATATAAATAAGCAAGAAAAACTTCATAGCTCTCTGTAGTATCCTTTATTGAGAAAAGCATGAAGTATGTAAGCAGTAGCATTGCTTCCTTCCACGTGGCATCTGCAGACACACAGCCATCAGGTTCACCTCTCAACAGCAGTCACACACAATCTTACACAACATAGGTGTTGAAATAAAGATGCGTGGCAGCAGTTGGAAGAGTGTATTACTATATTCCATCACAAGTTAAGGCCTAGGTATTGCAATATTACCTTAACATAACTTCACTTTTAAATAGATGTACCATTTTTTTAATCGTATACTATCACATATTTTATTTCAGTCTTTCCCTCTCCTATGATGACTATTACCATCCATTACATCATCTCTTGTGAAGTAACTAGACCATGACTCTGTACCTCACATTCTGTGAAAACATGCAAAGAGTTATTTGTACCAAGTGAAGAGAACTAAGCCATTTTAGTGAAATGGGCCACATTTAACAAGAAACTCTGAAAATTCTAAGTTTGTTATGAAGACATGCTTGATGGTCAGTGGTATCTACAGGATCTTAATAGTGGAAACCCACACAAACCGGCTATGTCTCACCTAGACGATATTTGGGAAGGATGGAGTCTAGATAGGACCTGGAGGAACTGAAGGTGATGCAAGGTGACAGAGGACACAGTAAGAAGGTGGGCTTATGGCAACAGCAAGAGACAATTAATGGAAATGAAAGCAAGAAAAGTATGGGCTTCATGGGACCCAAACCCAAACGACAGTAGATTTCACTAAGCTTCATAACTCACAGAACACGTTTTATATACATACATATATATATATATATATATACACACACACACAGATCATTAGGCTTTATCAGTCTTTTTTTTTATTTTGATAACAAATGAATCCCATGACATCTTGCCTAAACCAAGACTTAGCAAGTCTTGATTGTAAAGATTAACTTTTTTAAGGACTTAAGGAAATATTTCTCCGTTTTCTGCTTCGGCTGCTCTACACAACTTAAAAATTATGTGCCATTAACACCCTAAACATTCAAGACACATAGCTAAAGCAAATGTAAAAAGTATTCAAAAGAATTTTTCAAGTTTCCCTCTTTAAGTGAAATTCCAATGCTCCAATACTTTTATGCTATACTTGACTGTAATTTTACCTTGAACAGTTTCAGTAATCTACTTATCAAAATGACAGGGAGGAAAAAAAAAAAAAGGTTTTTTTTATTTTGGGGGTGCTCGTCCTTCAGAGTCCTGGCAGATTTACGTATGAGTAGTTTTGCTCCAAGAATTGCTATGAAAATGGTAGAAGAGTCTCACAAGTCCCAATACATTTTAGAATAATGACTGGGGTAGTAGCCCTAGCAAAGGACTAATGTTAGCAGAAGGCATTTTGAAGGCATACTGTTGTAACTGAAACATAGTCTTCAAATAAAAGAAAATCTTCTGAACATCCCAGGCATAGTTTGTGTAGATAATCCGGTATGTTATGATTTCTTTTATAGTGTAGGTAAGTAACTTCCCCCCCCCCCAAAACACAGACAGCAGCTCTTGCTTTTCTGAATACTGCAATTCTCTAACACAGACCAATAGCTTACTTTGTATATGCTGAGTACTTTCATTACCAAACAACTAAGGAGCAACCTCCTAATTTTAATTTATTTAGCTATAATACATTTACCTACTTATGTGCATTTCCTACTGGAAGCCACTGCAGACTAAAATCGGCAGTCCGATAGTTGAACTGTTCTTGTTCTGTTACACCGCAATGCTGTAATTTATATTTAAAATAAACAGGAGATTCCTGAGCTGTAGAAAAAATATTTAGTGGTTTGCGTGTCAAAAAAATAGTCTTTGTTCTTCTGTCATATAAGCAAAAGAAAGGTAAAACTGGAACTTCAGAAGCACCACCAATAAGCACTATCAACAGAATGGCACCATTTTGTTATTACCAAAAGTAAAGGTTTACTTTCTTTATTAAAAGAAAAAATCCGCCTTGAGAATGCAAATACACATGAAACAAGACAGCTTGCAGACTACAAGGAAAAGAAAGAGTGGAAATCAAAACACCTTGGATATCAGGAATATCCCATTACTGTTTTGCTTTGCTTAGACAGAGTGATGGAAATGCCTTTATGCATGACCTCTTTTGAATAGTAGTACTTTTCAAAACTCCTTAAAAATATTCCACAGATCCTCTAATGCAAGTCCTTTATGTCACAGGAACACAAGTCAAGAACACAAGTCATTCTGTCTAGTGATGAAATAAATATTCCCCTTATTAAATGGCCTAGGCAATGTCTTTCCTCAACAGTGGAAAAAGTGCTATATACAATAAGATACCTGGGACCCAAAAGAGAATGCTCACCAAAAAAAGCAGTAAACTTTAAAACAGTAAGTGCTGTCTAAAGAACCAGATTATTCAGTTTCTCCTGGTACAGTCATGGCCAGCAGAGGATCACCACATTTCAAATGGTAATTCAGTAAGGCCAAAACAAAATTATGCTGCTGTTCTTCAGGAATTGTATTTTTCTGTATCATGTTCAACACAATATGAAAAAACATTCATAATTCAGTGACTCAGACCTAAGAGTAGGTCTGAAGCAATACAAAGTCCAATACATGACCTTGAGTCAATGAAAACAAGCACAATTCAGAAGACTTAAAAAAGCAACCTACAAATGCAACCAGGAAAAAAAAAACAACCAGGAAATAAAAAAAGAAAGAAAAGAAAAAAACCAAACCAATGAACCAGCCATTGGCAAAAGTTGGAGTCACCCAAAAGAATGGTGCGAAAGCTTCTGCAGTTGTACCAGAGTTCTCCTAGTCCTTCCTGGAAATGCAACAGTAGCATTTCAGAATCCAAAATTTAAAGCCTTCAAAGTGAAACGAAACAATGGAAAAGATTACATAATACCTTCACTTCTAATATCACTAACCCAGGCTACATACATAAATGGAACCATGTGCATACATCACTCATTCAGTGTAAGCTCCTAGTGCAGCCTGGATCCCACCCAAGGTCTGTGCATCAGGCTAGAGGAAGTCAGTGGACAGTCGTAAACAACATTTTGGATTTTTCCTGGATATAAAAAGATGTGTAGAAGAATTCTTTATACAGGCCATGGGAGCCAGACAACATTGCACTTTTGGTTTACAACGTTGGTCAACAGAATTAGATAAAGCGCATTGGAGAACTAAGGAAAATAAACGTAAGACTACTTTGGAGAAGCAAAGGAACAAGAAAAGGCAGGTAGCAATGCAGCATTTTAGGGAGAGAAGCCATAGTAAAGAGATATTTAGAGAAGTATCCACAGATCAGGTTCAGATTACCTCTACCACAGAGTCTCTATCAGCAACAACATAATAGATCCCACTGCGACACTAAAAAATAACAGACGATAATAAGGAATGCAAGACAGTTCATGAAACCAACATCCAAGCTTCAAAAACACAAAATAAGTGCTAGAAATAAGCACAGTCTAAGAAAGTTATTTTAAACATTTCAACCAGTTTATGCAATAAAAAAGCCTAGTCATTAATACTTCATATCCAATTGAATGCTCTTCAGGCACTATACCATTCTCTTGCTGAAGAAAAACAGACAAGGACAAAGTGAAAAAATCAGGGGTTATTTCTTTTCCTTTTTTCACACCTCTAAGAAGAAGTTTTTGAGACCTTCATTAAAGTCCTTAAGTCTAGCACATCAATGCACACTGCCATTATATTGCACCCTTGAGACAGAGAGACCAAGATAGAGACAGTCACTCTGAATCTTCATTTCTTGCCATGTTTTATCACATCCTTAGATGACTTTGAAAGAGTTAAAATAAGATATATTTTCACATCTAAAAACAACCATCAGGAAAGGAACAAGAATTTCTCTGCAACTCCCTTATTACCACAGTGTCCTTCCAACACACCTCAAAACAGTTCAGGAAGTACAGAAACCTAAAAATAGACAAAAATATCATCCGGCAAGAATTGTGTATTCCTACTGAAAGAAGATATGATATAAGTAAAAAAATCAATTCAGCAATGTTTTCTGCCTTAAAACAAATTAAAAACCACTAAAGACACTTAGTGTGCAATACTGGAATAGTCACAATGAACATCACCAAAACATTCTTTGCCAGTAGCAATGAAAAAGAATTTAAGGGCTTTATTCCTTAAATATGATTATCCTTTGAACCCTACAAGTGCCAAACATCAACGTGTCAGAACTGAAGTGAAATAAAATAAAATGTAGCTGCTATCATAGCAGACTAGAGAGTACTCTTCAACTGCTGTTCTAAAGATTGGCCTTCTAAAAAAGTTATTTGGCAAGACACTGGAAATTCTCTTTCAAAAAAATTATACTCTTACTTTTACAATAAAGTGGCCAGTGTGTTCTGCTAATTGCATTATTTGGCTATAACAAAATCTCTCCAGACAAGTTAAAGGGGAACTGGAAGAACAAGAAGAAAGTGTTCTCCAAACTGCCAGAAGGAATGCGAGTAATCACTTAAAAACAGATTTCTTTCATACATATCTTCTTCCATACAAAAGCCAGAGCTGGTACAAATCCAAAGGAACTATGCTGATGTATCAGATTCGCTGGAAAGCTGCTGTTGTGCACCACCTGAAGCATCACACCTGTTAAACATGAAAGTCAGTGCGTTCCTGAAGTTGTGTATTTTGTGCCCTCACTGTGCTGGATGCTGTGCTCTGCACAGAGGTCAGAAAGAAGCAGGCAGTCACTTTTATATAAATCAGTTTTAAGCTAAGATGTCCTAAGTAACCATCGTTGAACTGCTTAAAGTTAATATGAGAAATTCAGACATCTATAAACACAAAGCACCTGAAGTCCCTGTTTCTGCCAGACACTGGCCAAAACCTAGAGCTCACCTAAAGTGATGCTCTCATATGACAGATCATCTCCACACTCCTTGGTCTTCTGTTTCCTCATTTCACTTGTTTGTTCTGGGGTCA